ACGCCAACACAATCCCCGTATTATATTTAATTCAGATGGGAGGGAGGATATAACACCAAACGAAGACAAATCCAACATCTTCTGCAAAATATGTTAAACAAAATATCAAAAGAACTGCATTGAAGACTATGAATATATCCTTAACCTATCTGTACAAGAATGTAGATTGGTAGACAAACAAAATTGTAGCATCAATTATATTAATGCAGGCAGATGATAAGAAATATGAATTCTGTTCAGTAAGAGTCAAAAATTTAAAATCAGGATTCTCTGGATTGTGGCACTGAAACCAGTCTTCAGTCACTAAATATATCGAGATAGATTAAAATATTTAATGTGAGCATAACGATTCAGCCATTAACATACTGACCAGCTGACCTAACAAGCAACCAACGGAAAGTTCAGACAGTTACTCACTCAGCTAAAACTTAGAACTTCGTACGTACGTACATCAATTCGGGTCACAATACCATATTATCACACAGAGATCGAATTGTCAATTCTTATTCCATAGTAATAGATATTGTAGAAGTATTAGCGGTAATCAAAAGATCAGTCATCAAAGATATCATTGAAGAAGTAAATAACAGAGGAATTAGTGTAAACAATAAAAAAAAAGAGACAGAAAAAACGGTCACGAGGAGTTCAGAAGATTAGAATTTCAGAGAACACAAAGAGTGGATGAACCTGCACTTTGCAAACTAGTTTTAGCCATCTCAATCAAAGTCTCTAACGATCGGTAACTATTGTCTTGCAGATTCAAACCAGGTAGTTTACATCTACTAACATGACTCAATCCACTTGTCACTGACTTCATGGATTGATGCAATGTTTTGGTTCGGCCGCCCGTAGCTTTCTTCTAGACTACTCCTACACTACAAAACATAAATCGTCGGGGAAGTCTGTGGTTATGCATACATCCCACATTTCCCAACCAGCAATTGATGAGGTTACATAACTGCTTTGCTATCCTTACATAGTACCCTTTTCGTAAAATCAGTGGTCCAATCATATACTAGCAGAACTTCGTACATAAGTACATCAGTTCAGATTGCCATACCACGTCAGCACAGAGATGTAACTGTCAGTTCAGATCCAAGAGTGACATCTACAATCACATACTAGTAACCTACGAATACTACACCTCTATAGAAGAACGGAGAGAACTGCTGAGCATAAGTGACGGACGTTGACGGAAGCCAGTCAAACCCTCTGTATCCGTTCTGAGATTACGTCAGTCACCAGACCATCAGCAGTGATGAGACTTCCAAGACAAATGAATTGGTCAACACGCTCAACCGTCTCACTCACTATCACTAGTTCAGATGCGGACGCAAGCCAATCGTGAAGCAGCATTTTGCATTTCGACTGGGAGAATCACATCCCGAACATGCTTGTATTGTTGCTTAAAGGTGGACAAAAGATTGCATTTTGTCAACATCTTCACCAAGTAGAACTATGATATTGGCATTTTCTAAGTCAGAAAGTGAGTCTCCTGGTAGAAGGTTAACTCCTAAGAAGTCAGACGACGACAGTGTCATCTCTAAGAGTATGTCTATGGTGTTCGCGAATAGAGCTTTTACAAGGTTTATGTACTTCTTTGGTACTCCCTTCAGTGACAGACACCAACATATTAACTCAAAATCAGCAGAGTTAAATACCACCTTAACGTGCCGCAATACATCTATTGTGGGATGCCGAACAGAAACGTCAATACACATTAGGAAAATAAGGGCTCTGAGGAAAGTCAAACACTTTTATTTAGAGACTGATGATGTTGTTCACAGTGGTTATGAAAGACAAATAATTAAATTATCCAGTTTAGTGGACACAATATGATCAAAATCTACATTCCACTGATTTTTTTCAACGATTACATATTCTACGTTGTTCGAGTTATTAAGGTTTTTTAACAAGATACATTTCTATATTGGTTACTCTTAAGTGTTATTCATTTTATGACTGTTCTTGGTCAGATCCTTCCTGAGGTCATGTTTACATACTAATGAGGGGTTCCACCCTTGCAAACTACAATTTTTTAGTAACACCTGAAAAACCTCTGTTCACCTCCTAAACTGAGATTCTCACTGGTTTAAATGGTAGGTTTAACTTTGAATATCACAGCTACAGACCTAAAATTACCATGTGTTAGACCACTTTATTCCGATCCATTTACGTTTCGATTTCAGTAACCTACGAATTTTAGCCATTCAGTTATCATTAGTTTAGGAAATGTGTATTTACTGAGTGAATACCGTTTATAAGTTGTATAGGTTAATGGTGTTTTTGTGAAGGTTTTCTTAACTTAAGAATAGTTTCCGTCAAAGACAGATATCAATTGAGAAGCTACTGCAGACCGTGAAGCCTCACAAGAAGTCAAAACCTTGCACCCATGGGAATTAATAAATACTGAGAACTGTGCTACCTGATATCTAGTTCTGAATGATTTCCTAGATGATATATTACTTTGTGACAAAAATTTCACAACCAACTTCATACCTCTCTGTAAAATCTTCTGGTGAATATTTTCACAATCATTCAGCTTGCTCTTACTTTATGCACAGAAATGTTTTCTTCCAACTTTTGTACACGATGACTTATGACACTGCAATAAACTTTGGTACTCAAACTATTGGTTCTACTTATATGCTTATTGATCATGTATACTTCTCATCTTCACTTTCAAAAACTCTATCAATATCAAACAAAATTTTGATATTTACACTAGGTTACCACAACATATTATTCAATTTGATGTTTATCCTTTCCCAACTGCTCACTGAATTCTCTCAGTCAAGTAGCAAGTTGGTAATTTTACTACTACAAAAGGCCAGTAAGAGCCCAAATAGCTCTGTCATAAGGCTTGAGTTAGGATGGATAATATTGGTTCATATGCCTTGTTACTGAATGCCAACTAACATGCAATATAAGTCTATTGTTTTCTGTCAATAACATTTATCCATCTATTTTCAAAATTATATGAGTAATACTTTAGCAAATCTAGAAGTTAGTGTAGATATTTTGATTTAAGTCATTAATGATATAGAACAGTTAGAGCATTGATTTCAGCATAATTATTATATATTATAAAAGCAAATAATAGTTAATTTTAAGTTATAGATACGCTTATCACGGTATAAATAAGTTTGAAGAATGAGCAATTATTTGATTTATTTGAAATAATTTGTGCTTTTTTTTATAACATTCCATAAATTTATATAAAAGCAATGAATACAGATTTATACTAGGTTTATCGATTCATCCATTTAAGTTACTGTTGTAGAGACAGAAATTCATTTTATCCTAACTTTTGCTGATATGTTTTGAGCACATTTATTATGTTGAAAAGTAGCATTGAATGATTAAAACAAGGTTGAAAAACGTTTGGTTCAATGTATACCATTATTTAAATTATAAAATTTCAAACGTACATTTAAACTTTAATTGTAATATTAAAGTTGAATGCCACTTCAGTATTCTTGTAATATTAAGTTTATTGCATCAGTCAGTTAGCTACAACCTGGAACTTCGTACGTATGTACATAAGTTCAGGTTGCCATACTGCATTACCAGAGGGGCGCAACTTTCACTTCAAATCCCATAGTGGTAGAGATAGTAGAAGTATTAGCGGTCATAGAGAAGATTAGGGTTCAAAGATATCGTCGGAGAAGTATAGTTCAGTGAGATAACTTTGGAAAGAGATAGATACAGGTGATGGGGAAGTCAGGAGGCTAGAATTTGAGAAAACACAAAGAATGAATGCACCTGTGCCATTGCAAACAATTTCGAGATATGTTGTTCAAGGTCTCTAACCATCGGTGACGTACGTCTCGCGGACCCCAACCAGGTAGCCGAAACCTACCGACATGACTCAGTCCACTTGTCAAAGACTTCATGGATTTCTGCCATGTTTTGGTTTGGCCGTCCCTAGCTTTCTTCCAACCTACTCCTACATCGCAAAACATAGCTCGTCGAGGCAGTCGATGGGTGGGTTAACGTAAATCATGTGTATCTGTTCACATTTGTTGCGTGCCGTTTCTCAAATCGCCTAACCAGTATGTAACTAACTTCCTTAGTAATGTTTTAAGTAGTGAATCACCTGACGGATCATACTTCGAAAATCTATCTTTTACACCAATAATAATTTTTATGATTTCTTGATTTGCCGTACTTTCACCAAAGATTACCATAATCTCCTGTGTTGTTCTGAAAAGCGTTTGTTCTGAGGGTACTGACGGAAGTTTATAACGATATTCTCCTGAAGGCTAAAAATATTTTTAGTCACAATTTTACCAGTACAACGATAGAAAAAATAACTGCGTTCGTAGAATATCTAACCCCGGATTACGCTATATTATGGTCATTTTAAAATTATGTAAAGTTTTACACTAGAGGTAGTTTATCTATTCAGTAAGTTTAATATTTGAATAATAACTACTGGTTAATCAGAGAGAATTAATTATCTGTTTACAGTAAGACAAATAAGTTGTTTTTACTTCTTGAAAATATCCATGATACCAGTCATTAATTGCTTTTGGTCATTAACACCGTCATAACATAGAAAAGTATGTTGGACCTTGATTACCAACAATTTTAAATTTTGAACTGTTCGTCACATAGAAAAATCGCATCTATAGTTTTAAATAAATGACTAAAATTAACTCATTTATCTCCTTAATCTTAACATTGATCTTCTCCTTATTTGTGTTATACGATCTTCGGAGGTTATCAAAAGCTTGTGAAGCTTCAGTTTAATACTATTTCAATGGCAGCGTTAATCTTCATGTTTTCTTTCTCTATAACGGGCAGAAAGATGAGGTTATTTTCATTAACCAGCGGGTACGTCTTGCGATATTGTGAGCATTTAGCTAAGTAAAAAATATTCATACTCGAAATGGCTTACTCTGATTAGTGTTTGAATAGTACATAGTTATTTTAAACGTCTTTGTGTTAAAACGGTGTAACATACCGCACTCATTTATTGAAATGATTAAACTTACTGTTAACTAAACTATGAAGCGCAAGCTTGACTTTTGAAAAGTTCCCTCTGCCAATATCCAGAACAAATCGATAAAATCCTAATCGTTTTCCAGCTCGTATTTCATTTTTATAAGTTGAATCTTTAGAGAAATTTAAACACAATTTTTCAAAAACTGTCAAACTATCTGGTCGCTTTTGTACAGGCTGTTGATTGCTTTTACGGCTAGGATCCTTTCTAATTAAGGAAAGGGATTCTGTAGAAACATAGTTGGGATCAGGTTTATTAGGATGACCCTAGGAAAGAAGAGAGTTAAAATATTTATTTTATATATTACTTCAGCGCTAGTTGCCACATAACTTGGACTTAAAAGAACCCCAAGTGGTTATAAGAACATAAAGTAATTAAAAAAATATTTCATTTTTTCAGTCGTTCAGAAGACGGATAAACATTGAAGCTAATGAGAAATGTACAACTGCACCATGCTTCTTAACAGAAGAACAATGTAAACTGGGCAAGCTTAAACGATAATTGGATGAGTTTATTTTCGCACAATTTGGACAAAATACTAAAGACATGCATTTTCCGCATATTCGAGATCGCGTAACAGCAAAAGTTCATCATTTCCCACAGTTAATTTACAGTAGAATAAATTATGGAACATAATTCAACCATGAGTAGATTTATATCTTACTTATATAGTTGTCCCAGATCAGTTACACAACTTTTTTATTTTGCATCAGAAAATAGTGAAGTATTTTAAGTCATTATCAGTGAAGCATAGATATAAGTGAAAATGCATTGTGTAGAAACCACCATTTATTTTTTCTAAACGAAGTAATTTAAAGCCACAAAATTTCTCAATTTCAATCCAGGACCACTTCTTATGGGGATTCACTAAACTATGATCAATAATTACCACAACGTTTCTAAAAGTATCATATCTTATTTAGAAGCCAATAGTTCTGTTCTCAAAGTCTTGAAACTCTATTAAAGCCTTTTTGAATAAAGTAGATAGTGATGCAGTACAATTATATACTAGCCATAATTCATTTGTTCAATTATTTTCATCGTTGAAAAACCTTCGTTCTATTCATATAGATTGTCTGTGAACTGCTTTTCGAATATATTCGTTATTGTGTAGATTTGTTGTATAAATATCAAGGGCGCATATGATTATATTGTTACCATAAAAAGTGATAAAATAATTAGGTTGGGTCATAAGAACATGAAAAGGGAGTAGTATTATTAATATGAGTGTAGAATTAACCATTAGTTTAACATTCAGATAATTAACTCACATTCATTTGACCACTTTTTTCGGGTGGCGTTGAAGATTTCTCTTCCGAATACTGTTTTGCAAATCTGTCTAGACCTTCTACTTCTGAAATAGCAGTTCTTAATTGACCACCAGGTGCAGCAAGATATTCGTTGTTTTGCAATTCGTTGTTGCGTATATCAACTCCAGTATATTCTCGAGATAGCTCATGATAAGACATTTGAGAGTCACACCAGTGAATAGTTACATTTCTTCCTAACTTGCTGTTTTCTTTCACAGCATTGTTCAAGGCATTTCGATTAGATAAATATTTTCCATTTTGAATGTGTATTTCACGCGGATAGTTCTTATTCATCTCACAGAAATTTTATAACGGATGAAAAAAGCGAATAAATCATTGTTAACAAGTACTTAGGTCCAAACAACCTTAGCTTAAAATACTGCTAAATGAGTACAATTAATTAATGATCGTTTAAAACAAGTAGATACTACATATCAAAATGACAGTTCGTGAGAGTTTAATCGATGTGCTAAAGGGTAGTTTCCAATTGTTTTTTCGGGAGATATCAAGAAACTTTAGACATATAGGTATGCTTTTGACAGCAAAATTCAGACTTTCTCAGTAAGAATTAGAGGAGTGATTATTTCCTGTGGTCAGAGTCCAGCTTACAGTGATGGTACAGAGTAGTGAAGGTAGTTTAAAGTTTATTTATAACCATTTCATCTCATGCCCTGTTTGTTTTCAAGTTTCTGGAGTTACTCACTTCTCGTGGATTACCACTAGAAAAATAGTGTATTAAAGACAACCGACTGTTCAAACTATCGTGACGTAGAGTGAGCTTCACTAGTTTTATAGGACGTATATAAACAGACCAATTGCCGGTAGCTAGCAATGCAGTATAATCTACCTAATTCCGTTATCTTAAGAAGCTTGTTATTTCAACGTAACTAATGCACTTAGCCTTCAGAAATGTCCTGGCTGAATTGTAGATCCTCAGTCTCCCAGAGTTCCAGTATCCATTATCTTTCTCGTGAGCTTGTATAAACCTAATGATTTCTTTGTTATCGATTCGTGTACTTTCAGTACGGTTCCAGATATTTGTTAGTGTCCGATGTATGCGGGTCTAGCCACTCAAATGTCTAATTCTAGTCAGTTGGCAGTTGGTTGTAAATTTGTATCTCCCATTATTTTGCTTCGATACTGGAGTCGTCTGACTTATGTCGAATCCCCTATAGTTTATACCATAATCGGTTTTAGTAAAGGGGACAAAACCTGTCGCAAGAAAAAACGAAACCTAGTCGAGAGACGTTCTAATGATTCTTATATTTTATATACTGATTGGCAGGTTTAAGTTAGTGGTTGTTAGGACTCGACAGGAAATTCCGACTCTTCAGTTCATGATATGGTGCCTGGTGCACTTTCATCTTTGAAGAGACTGATACTCTATGGCAAACTTAACCTCGTATTGTCCAGCTTCATAGTCAGATATACTGCCACTGAATGAAAGATTGACCTCCTGAGGTGTGTTCACAAGTGACTAATCGTCCATTAGTAACCGCTGTCGTGAAAATCGAATTCCTCTTAGTAGTTTTTAAGTTCCATCGGTGTGATGTCGCTCAGAAAAATGACTTTACTCTAAGTTGGTCGACAGAATTAAATCAGTATTATAAAGGAGTTGACATGAGTTACATAGTTAATTACTCAGTGTTCAGCATTCCGTAGAAGGTTAGTGTACGGATCTGCCTCTTTTCTGGAAGTTTTATAAATTTGATGTTATTTTTAAGGCCCAGCTAAATAAAAACGATTGGATGAATTTTCGTGTTACTGTTTCGGACATCTTAAAAGGAACCGACATTACTATGAGCTATCTAAAGTAGGAGCAGAAGCCTGTGCCGTGACCTTCGAATAGTCAGAATACTAAAACATAGTTTCATGCTTGCTGTTTTAAGCATGAATTCTACACAGTAGCCAAAAAAACGAGTATTTCTTCAAAACAGCAACCTGTCCAAGTTAAAAAAAATCATCAGAGGTCCCTTCTACGGGGTAATGAAACAATTCATACTGTTAATATCAAAGATTCTTTGCGGTAAATATGTATTAACACGGCTTGATACATACAATTTATACTAAGGACTACCCAATGTTGTGGACGATAATGAAACAAAGAAGGAATAATCTGTGAAAAAAGATACCCTTATCTATCTGTTTCTGACTCCTAGTTTGCGCCATGTCACCGACAGGAACAGTTTGATATAGCCATATTTTGAACCAGGGATTACAAGTGGGGTAGGTACGCAGCAAAGTTCATGGACGGTGCGCATAATTCAAGAGTGACTTTGTTGTACAGTGGCTATTGGAATGTTCGTACTTAAGGTGTTCTTTGCGTATAAGCATCATGGATGTTCCACTGAAGATAGGGTATTGAAAGGGGACAACAACAGAGAGAGTAAAACGTACCACGAGGCAATCCAGCATCAATTATCAGAGTATTACTTAACTGTTCATGGTGAAGCAGACAAAGCAGTGGTAAGTCAAGATAAATTCTGTGCTTAATCCTCCAAAATCGCGTGTAATATGGCCACTTGTTAGAACAATTAAACCGAGATAAAGATTAAAACATGAACCCAAGAGGAAACATACCATGGAGAACGACCTCAATAACACTGAATGCTTTCTTATTTATTATTAATGAGCCCGAAACGGGAAAAATGTTCTCAACCAAATTTCAATTTCATTGTTTTTTCGGTTATTGGTTAGGTATATATCAGCTGACCGTGTAATGAAAACAAACCACAACATAATTCGGAAATCGAACTACAAATGCTTATCCACTGCAGCTTTATTCAGCTAACATAATATACGTGTTTGGTTTTTGATTGAAAACAATGAGGTCAGCTTGAATGAACGAATATCGGTCAACTTCATTTAACTCTAATTTTCTTTACTTTACTTCTGCCAGCAATATGATTCATAGCTCTTGATCTCGACCATTTTCACACAATTATCAAGACAAAACTTTTTACCCAAATTCACTATATTACTTATGATTGCAGGTCATCTCATAGCCTAACGCTTTTCCGACTGACTAACGAATCTGTCAAGGTAGTGTAGTGGAACGCTTCTACGCAGAAAATACGATTTGTGAAAAATAAACATTATTGTACTCGTTTTGTTTAACTGTACCAAAAACACTTCTACTACTTCTTGCGCGCAACGTTCTCTTCGCGTTGCCGCCATGTTTCTCCATTTGCTGCTCCCTATGTAATGCCAACGTTCTCCTTCAATAAAACCATGGAGTATAGATTTATTTTGTTTTGCTTTTCGTGACGCGACCGTATGGAACATTTAGTGGTGAGCATAGTCAATCAGGTATCCGGATTCGCTCGCAACAGTAGTCACCACAGTTCATCTTCACTGAAATATCAAGATCACATTGAATACTAGAAACAAAAGTTTGACGTTGAACTCATCTTAAAAGATAGCAAAATATGCACTAGTGATCCTATATTTTCCGTTACACTTATGACACACGGATAAACATCCTACACAAATCAAAATGCCCGATCAGATATTTTGTAAAGTTTATAGGTAACTTTATCCACACAAGTGGTAAACCAAAGAGATGCCGATGTTCCTGAAATAGATCTGTATCTGGATTGTAGTCACAGCCATTACAAACAACACAGTTGCTGAGCCATCTATTACCATAATAGAATCACTAATAACAATTATGGCAAATAGACTGAAGACTGACAATAGTAGGCAGCCAAGTGTCAACTGACAACCTGTCTGAATGAAAATATCCCGATACAAGTTTGAAGCTATTTGCTATCTCATTTTATATGAGCATCGCACCATCCCTTTCCTATTATAGAATTCTAAATCTTTTCGTACTTAACCAAGGTAAACGAGCTTTCCTTTATTCATATGTCGAACACTGGAAGTCTTATTCAGACAATTCAAGCCTGTTTCTAACTGCATGACTGAACGAACGCATAAACATATGACCTGTCTTTCATTATTCGTAAGTTCCTGGAAGAAACAACAAGCATTACGTCATCTCTGGATAAACTAACGCTTCAAACGATAGTAATGACAGTGATAAAATTGGACAAGATATGCCTAGAAATTTTACAGATTTAAGTTATATCTTCATGACGTAATTTATCACACTAGAATACACAATAATAAATTCACACCACCCTTATCACTCAAATTTTTGTCTCAGCATAAATAGACAGCTTGTATACTAGCGCAAAAATACATTCTGAACTAATTCCATGTTTTACTTATTCCTCATGTTTTGTTTATTTCACATCAGATTCAGAAATCACATTTACATCATAGTTTTCATTGTTACTAGACAACGATATGGATACACTCGGTCGTATGTGTCCTTCCGCGTGAATTAGGTTCTCATTATATTGATGACTTTTTGATATTTTTCTGAAATACTCCATTCGTCAGACCAACTACGTACCACTGAAGATGCAAGATGGTACATTTCATTCTCTGAATATTTTTCCATATGTCGTTTTAGCACTAGGATAGCCAATAAATAAATGCTTTCATTAAAAATTCAGGTGATATCGGTGAATATATCACCTAAATTTACTAACTTCGGATCTACTACGCTGAAATAATAAGGTAAACAACTGATATAAATAGTTTACTAAGTCCTCTAGTGCGTACAATCGAGGCAGTACTTACTTGGCTACCGCCTATTAATACACTATTCCCTAAAATTCTTCTATAAATTATGATAATTATCTTTCGAGAAATAATTTTAGGATTTGCTAGTAGGATGATTTAATCTGATCAGATCACAGTGCTACAGCACACATGAACAAAAGAACCACATTCACACAACAGCAGGATTGATTCGACTATTTTGACAAACGTCTATAAACTTTTTCCGAGTAACTGAAGTAAAAATTTCAAATTTTGTTATTATTATCCTACTTACCAAATCTGAAACTCATACCGACTTCTATAATTCATAGCATTTCTAACACGACAATTTCTATCGCAGTCACATTTCTTTAACCTCACAGAGGAGTTGAAGTACTTCTCTAAATTTGAGGCGGTGGTTTCATATTCTGCGTTACTATGAGGCCGATCCGTTTGTTTCCGATCTTCGTCGTCCTGCTTCTTTTTTATGGTGAGTATTGTTTTCGGTTTTCTATTTTTATTCAGTTTTTCCATACTGCATTAAACCGTTTTGGTTCACGCAAAACTCACTTAACTTTTACCTATGGTTAGAATAGTGTACTATTAAAATGAATATAAAACAACTTCGGGAAAAACTACTACAAATATTTGAAAACAGCACAGAATCTTTTGTTACATTCCACTTAATCACGCTTCGTACATTTATAAACGATGTTAATGAAAGTCCCCGTTTATGGACAACCAAGCTTGAATGAACTAGCTAAATCTTTATTCAGGCACTTTAAAAGGGTTAGTTAGTATTCTAAAATTTTCTCCAGAATACGGGTTATAGTTTCAACTCTTGTTCCTCAGTTGCACATACTTCATGGCACATCACCTTCTGTGAGATTTAAGGCTTCGAACTAGCGTCTAGATCGAATGAATTCCAATAAACCGTCGCGTTTCTAAGATGCTCCTGAGTTCATCAATGGTACGAGAATGACATACACATATTCCTATATCCTATGTCCTGATAATCCAAACAAACCATCTGAAAAGTATTGTCGTGATTCACAAACCCCTAAGGGTGCATGCTGTTCAAAAGATGTAGATCATTAAGTGTCAATATTTTAAGAAACAACGAATATCAATACTATCATTTCTATTTGTCAATATATTAATAGTCATATAATTCGAATATGTTTCTCCTCATGAAACGAATTTTTCCCTATGAAACATCATTAAGGTTTGGTGATATCCGTAATGTGTGAAGGCGAGTTTGTTTTCTGCCACAGTAGGTTGTTACTGATAGCGTCTGACTGATGGATCTGCGGTTTCTTGCTTAGACAACTGTTTATAAATATCTGCACATATTTGATGACGGCTTCTGTATTTCTGCGAGTTTCGCTCGGTACAATAGAACTGTCTTAACGTTCGTATTGGTGTTGGTTGATAGTTGTTTTGAGCTGCAGATGTTCTTCAGTTGTAGAAATGCTGTCCTTGCTTTGCTACTCCGTGTTTTCTCATCTGGATTAGATCCACTCTATTTATCAATAATGCTATCCAGGTATGTCAGACTTTTCATATATTTGAGAGGTTCTTCGTTAAGTGTGATTTGGTTAGTCCATGTTGTGTTGTATCTAAGGATTTAGCTTTTTCCTTTGTATATGTTGAGGTCTATTTCTCAGGTACATCGTAGTGTCGGAGAAGTCTCCATAGTGTCATCCTGTCTGCGCTATCAAACGCTTTTTCGTAGTGAAGGAAGTTAATGTAGATTAGTGAGTTCCATTCAGTGATCTGTAGTGTCGCAAATTGGTCGGTATGAGATCGATGTTTACGGAATCCAGTTTGCTAATTTCAAATTTGGGGGTCTACTAAATCTCCCATTCTATTCAACAACACTGTTGATGATTTTTCCTGGTATTCAGGGTAGAATGACGTCTGTAATTCTCACACTTGCTAAGATCTCATCTCCTTAGTGTTTTGATGAGGTGTCCTTTCCAGTCTGTTGGTACTTGTTCTTCCTTCCAAACGGAGTGTTGTCTGGTCCCACTGCTTTGCTGCTCTTGATTTGTCTGATGGCCATGCTGATTGCTTCAGTTGTTAGTGGGTCAAAATTAATTGGAAGATCCGTAGGTGCTGCCTCGATTTGGGGTGGGTTCAGTAAGGCTTGTCGATTCAGTTCTTCAAAGTCCTATACCCACCTGTTTCGCTATTCTTCAATGCTACTGATTACTTTGCCTTCCCTGCTTCCCACTGGTCGTTCTGTCTCACTATACTTTCCAATGAGCTCTGTATAGTTGTCTCATGTTTCTTCTTGCAGCTTTTTCTGTTGTCGTTTTTAGATCCTCCACATATTTATGTTAGTCAGCTTTGATGCCTTTCATTTTCTTGTTTGCTTCTATGTATTCAGCTTGTGTTTTGACTTTATGCGCTCTTGTTCGGTTGCTATGACTTGCTTTCCTCCTGTTCTTCCCTTGTCGGATCCTACCTAGTGCATTGACAGAGATCTGTTCGTTGTGATTGTGCTTCTTGGGGCCCAAAACCTCATGATTTGCTGAAGTGATTGTTTCTTTAATCCGTTTCCTAGTGTTCTATATTGTAGTTTCCTCTTTATATAGTAGATTGTGAGAGGCCTGGAACTTATTGTCGAGGACTTTTATAGTATCCCGAAGAAAGACTTAAACTTTTGTGATGTTGTTCACCCAGTTATCCAGTATTTCTTTAGCTCGAGCTTTCATATCGGCCGCTACCGATTGATAATCTGGAGTGATGTCAGCTCTCCGCCTGGTTCTCCCATCTTCCATGATCCTTAACTTTCTATTGATGCAGATGTGGTTGATTTGGTTCTGTATAGTATGATCCGATTATACTCGTGTGGCTTTACTCACGGGTTTGTGTGGAAATATGGTACCTCTTATTACCGTTTTTTGAAAGCACGTAGCTCTGCAGATATATCTTTTGTCCCTCTCTCCTAGTCCATATCGTCCAATGATATCTTTATGTCCATTGTTGTCCATTTCAACAATGTCGTTTAGGTCTCATCAGAATGGTTAGATCTTTTGTTGGGCACTTCTCGATGATTGACTGTAGCCTCATAGAATTGACCTTTATCGTCCTAATTGGTGGGTACATAGCACTGGATAACATTTATTGTAACTCCATCCTTCTCTGTCTTGAAAGATCCTGAGTCCATGAGATTCCCATCCTATCATTGATTTTTGAGTTTCTTTGGATATCATCAGTGCAACCTTTTGTGTGTGAAGCATTTTCTTCTTCATGACCGGATTACAATAGAATTTCTCCTGAAGCAAGTCCTTTTTTTCTAGCTTGTTGTTTTACTTATTCCAAGTACCACTGGGTTGTATCTTTTGATTTCCGTAGTAACTTAAATGGTTCTTCCGGTCTCCTACATTGTTCTGACATTCCTTGTATCTGTATTAATGGTTCCTTTGGTTATCAAGAGCGGCACTGACCTTACGACCTCCCGAACGTAGCTGCTACCTTGACGTGTGTGGTAAGGCTCGCCTAGTTGTGTATGGAATTCGGTCACTAACTGCATTCCAAACTCTATCCCTTTTTCTGGGCTTGTAACCGTCAGTAACTTTAGAAGGACTCCAAGCAGAGTTAGTGTACGCATACTGAGCTCTAAATCGCTTATGAGTGACTAACTGACTGACTGTTGCATAAATTTTCATGAAAATGGTTTTTTATTTGACCATATGTTTGAAGACGCTATATAGTTTAAAGTAATTTGGGTTTGATATTAATGTAAAAAGGTTTGTATCAAACATTATTGCTGTATAAAACCTTAACATTCCTGTATTACACAAGTGTTATTCAGAGGATATTTAAGTCTAGTTCCACCTCAGAATAATCCGGTCCTTTCAAAATGTTAGTGTTTGGTACATTTTTAAACACTCCGTTGGTTTTGTGGTGCCATTTTTCACTCCTGTAGTTTAGGAATCTGATTTATCTAGTGTTTTTATCTAAATTTTCACACTAACCAATCCCAGTTTCAGTGTGGAAAAGATATGACTCTGAATCACTTATGTTAGTCCCGGCGACGAAAGTCTCAGTCATTTCAACTTTCTTTTGGGCGATTTAATAAATGGGACTTGAACCACATGTTAAACTAAAGAGTGTCACTGATTGATGATTCGACCGATAAATAACAGCCAGCTGACGAGTTATTGGCTCTGGGGTTATGAGTTTTTTGGAGTATTCTCGGCAGTTGTCTGTCTTGGAAGGTACAAATAATGAGTTTATTCATTTACTTACTTAAAAACGAGGATTAAAATAAAGGAGCACCAAAATATATATACGGTAAATCATCGAATTGGTGCGTGTTCTGAGATACTGCCTGGGTTCTCAAACCAACTGTGTTGAATTTGTGTAGTGGTACCTCATTTAGAATATGTTAAAACAAACCAATTTACAGCTCTTGTCTCTTGCATTTCAGACAACGACTGGCTAATTCACGCATTCCACCCTCATGGGATATGTTATGCCCTGTTACGGTCGAGTGAAGAGAATCCGCTCTCCTCCTCCAAGTTCTCCCATATGACCTCGCATGCATATACACTTCCAAGGAATTCATACTCACTGCGTTCTTGTAGCTGAGGTTTTTAAACAATTGAGGGGACAAAAACCAAATGTTCGGTGCTTAAACGGGTTATGTGGATGCGAAGAATCCCCTCTGATTCCAAACCGATGTTTTATGTTTAAGTAAAATTAGTAAATCTATGAAGTCGTTATTATTCCCAATAAATGGGGCCCTTTACATCCCTCGATTAAGTTAGCCATTACGATCGCCAAGTTTTCTTATTCGTGTTCGAAAATTGGGTCATCACACGTCTGTCATGGTTGTTATATATGGGTTGATATAACTTATGTATGTGGTCCCGATATCTTATTAAACAAGCTCCTGTCTTGTGTAACAGATCCAGAAAGCATTTATATGCTTCTGTGCTGCACTCAAAGCAGTTTTTTTAGGTGATTGTAAATTGATTATTTAGTGACAATAAGCAAATTCATGCCCATCCCTAATGAGAGTAGTAAAAGTTGCATTTGGCAATGTATTTTGCTAGTGACGTTCACCATTATAGTAACTTGTGATTACACACTCGTTGCATCCTATCAACACTGCCAGCATAATCACATTCACTGGTTTCCTCTACACCTTTTAAAAGCTGCGCGTATAATTTTGGAGTAAACTTCGTTATGTTGTCCTTTGGACTCATCGCACTGCATACCGGGCGTTGAAAACAATTTTTTATGATTTTCAGTCTTCACTCAAAGATTTTCAGGCAAACCTGAAGAAGCAACAACCACACCGGTGAAGAATGATAACCAGAAAAGTTGGGCACCTAAGAAAGTACGGATGCGAAAGACCTTTGTAAAGAAAATGAGGTCCTTCCTGGTTGTTTAACTGAAAATAGTTCATTTAAAGTGAAAACAGCAGCCTTATTGTGTAATAAATAATCAAAACTAAAAATCTAATCAGTGAGGAAAATTACCATTGTCTTTTTAAATAGTGTGCAGCGAATTCATAGGAAATCCAATTAAGCACTTCATTGTGCTATGTAATCACTAATATTAAAATATTGATTGATCTTGTGTCCTAAATCTTTTATCATAACTTAGAATCGTAAATATCTACTTCTTCGGGATACATTTTGACAACTAGCATTCAGTTGTAAATAAGTTAGACTTATTATTTCCATGATTTTTGGTATTTTTCATTTGGTCTAACTGTATTAATTCAAGAGTTAAGTATTTTAATAGCTGATAATTAATTACCAGGATATCTTTTGTATTTCTCCTAGATGAAATACTTGCGAAACCAAAAGTAAAAAGTCTTCTAACTGGAATTGGGCGCTCGAAAACATTTCCAGGTTCAAAGTCAAAACATCGATATTCTGGAAGTTCAGGCATTTTTTCACGTCGAAGCGGACTGTACGTGAGCTTATTCAGCATATATTTTCTACTTGATTTAATATTTTCGCATCTTTTTACTCAAACATTCGCCGGCTAGGGTAATTTATTTTCTTAAATACAATAGTTGAACAGTCAATACTTTAATGACTCCTATTTATCTGAAAACACCAATATGGACTTGTTAGTTAGTATTATGATCTTCATAATATCAGTTTTTTGCTTATTGAAAATGCCACTTTTTTGTAGACTGTCATAATTAATTTCTTTCAACAGGGTTGTTATATTTTTCTATTTGTACTTGCATAGTAACCGAAAGTGGTTTTCTCAAGAAATTAATTTGAGTACAGTGTCTTATTTTTGTCAAGAAATATAGTATCTTGCCCCACTCGACACTACTTTCATGCGGTTTCAGTCTTTGTGTGTTTAGATGTTTCGGACTAGTTATACTTTCTGTAACAGTAGCTCCTTGAAACTTCGATGGGAAAGAAGTAATTATACCGTAGTGCGAAATTTGTCTATAGCTTTGTACATTCTATTGTCTTAAAGCATGATGAAAGTAAGCTCTTTCGCACAGATAATCAAAATTTCTTGTAATGTTGCTCTTTTATTTTCTGATTACAAATTAGCAACTGTAACTCCCAAGAGTTTTACATTTTTTCTCACTCTATAACTTTTGTACTGTCGGTTGTAGGATTTTCCGAAAAAGAGCTTACAAACGCTTGAAAAGTTAACTACTCTGTCAAGATTATTATATGTTTACCCACCAATTAATATATATGAATATACACACTAGATCGTATTGGTAAAGACGTTGACAAAATGCAGTCTTTTGCCCACCTTTAAGCAACAATACAAGCATGTTCGGGATGTGATTCTCCCAGTCGAAATGCAAAATGCTGCTTCACGATTGGCTTGCGTCCGCATCTGAACTAGTGATAGTGAGTGAGACGGTTGAGCGTGTTGACCAATTCATTTGTCTTGGAAGTCTCATCACTGCTGATGGTCTGGTGACTGACGTAATCTCAGAACGGATACAGAGGGTTTGACTGGCTTCCGTCAACGTCCGTCACTTATGCTCAGCAGTTCTCTCCGTTCTTCTATAGAGGTGTAATATTCGTAGGTTACTAGTATGCGATCGTAGGTGTCTTCGAAGTATTGCTAGTACATGATTGGACCACTGAGTATGTAGTTCAGATTTTACGAAAAGGGTACTAGGTAAGGATAGCAAAGCAGTTGTGTAACCTCATCGATTGGGGTGGTTGGAAGATGTACGTAAGCCGTTGGCTAGAGTCCTTGAATGACATGGCTCAAAATCGTTTGCAATGGCGCAATTCATCCACTTTTTTTAATCTCGAATTGCAATCTACACTCCTCATGACCTTTCTTCTCCCTTTTTATTTCTCGAATCATATATTCGATCCCTAATCTCCATTACTTCTAATACCTCTACAACCGACCGAAGCTGCTACCTTGACGTGGTGGTCGGGCTTGCCTATCGTGATGACCCAACCGAGCTATACTGGCTGGAACACATGTTCCTGCAGGTCCTACCATGTCAGGCAGCTCGATTGGAGAACGATGAGACTAAAAGCAGCTACCCAAGGTCTGAGGGCGAAGTCGTACTGCTGACTGCAGAGGGGTGTGACAGCAGTAAGGTGTTTCCCTCGGACAACCAGCATCTGCAGCGATGCTGCCTTCTCACAAGGAAGGAAGGGTTAGAAAAGGTCGGCCCTAGAAATGTCACACCTCCCCTACCTCACGGATTTCCGTCTCCTTGGGTAAGGGTGCCCACTAAGGGTTTTTAAGAACGGAGCTAATCCTCAAACAACGTTTCATAAAAAGGCCGTGCGTGACCGGCCTCAAGCAGTTGTCCCTTGGGCTCTGCGGTCACGCACCAACACTAATCCATCTTCCTTTTCAGGTTCGTCAAGAAACAACCTTCCACGGTGTGGGCAGCCGGGAAGTGATAACCACTCTCATACCCGCAACAGCACGCGAGACCAAATTGTTCAAAATCAAATCCTTCCTACATTCCCTAATACCTCTCTTATCTCCACAACTAACTCTTCTCACATTCATTTATTACAGTGCACAGCTAGTGCAAACGATGCGAGTTTGCCAAACGTCGTTCCTGGTCTCCTTAAACCCCGTTCCAAACTACATGTTGGAGCATTCAATGTACGGACATTGTGTCAAATAGGGCAACAGGCATCATTAGCTAGGACTTTAGAATCTCGTTCCATCGATGTGTGCTGCGTCTCGGAAACGCGCATACAGGATCCGAGTCACGTCATACACTTGGCCACACCATGTCAAAATAAAGAAGCAGCTCGATTTACTCTTCGTGTACCCGGTAGCCCTGATGGTGCTTCCCGGGGTCTTGCTGGCGTAGGCATAGCATTGAGTCGTAGGGCAGAACAATCTCTCCTTGACTGGATCCCAATAGATAGTCGCTTGTACGCCGTCCGACTAAACGGGACAGTAAGGACTCGGAAAGATAGGGACACTCGTCGTTGCCTCTTCGTCATATCAGCCTACGCCCCCACTGACTGCACTCCAGATGATGTGAAAGATGAGTTTTACAGAAAGCTTTCGGACCTCCTCCAAAAAGATAAGCGCTCCGATATAGTTATAATGGCTGGTGACTTCAATGCACAAGTAGGTAGACTAAGTGAAAATGAAAGACACCTAGGTGGATGTTACGGTCTCGCGGCTCAAAGAACAGACAATGGCGACCGTCTGTTGCAACTGTGCTCAGATAACCAACTATTTCTAGCAAACACTAATTTTAAGCATAAGGAAAAACACCTTTTGACCTGGCGACCCCCGAAATCGTCTCAACGTTGGACACAACTAGATCATATCGCCATCAGCCACCGATGGAGGGGTTCGATAGAGGATTGTCGCTCGTTCTGGGGCACATGTTTAGATTCAGATCATGCCCTAGTGCGAGCCCGTATTTGTTTGAGGCTTACTGGACGTAGGAAAGACACCGTAAGGAAGCCTCTTAGGGCTTTACTTGATGATAATCAAGCTAAGAAAATATTTCAGGAGGAACTAGAAAAACAGTTAGGCGGCCATGCAAATGATTCCCATCCAGAAGCAGGTTGGTATGATATCAAAAAGGCTGTGGAAACAGCAATGGTATCTGCTAGCAAGGTAAACCACAATGCTAGGATGAAGCAGTGGATTTCAGTCGCATCCACCGAACTGATGGATGCCCGAAAACGCATCCCACCTGACTCTGAACATGATGAAGAGCGTAGTCAGCTTAGGCGCAGACTTATAAAAAGCCTACGTAACGACCGTGAACAGTGGTGGGTGGCGAAAGCAATAGCGATGGAAAAGGCAGCGACGATAGGCAACACTAGACAACTTTTCCGCCTTATTAAAGAAACCGGTATTAGGAACCCGAATGTGAGTGAGACTATCTCGGAAAAGGATGGTCTTATTATCCATTCTCAATCCAGGAAATTGTACCGATGGGCAGAACACTTTTGGGAAAAGTTCAACTGGTCTTCAGCCACACTTCGGTTGCCCACGATCTCCAGTCATCCTGATTGGCGAATCGATTTAAGTCCTCCTAGTCTACATGAAGTTGAGAAAGCTATAGGAAATTTAAAAGGAGGGAGAGCAGCAGGTCCTGATAGGCTTATCTCTGAGATGTTCAATGATGGTGGTCCAGTTTTAACGGTTAGACTGACCGAGATCCTAGGTAGAATCTGGGAACTGGACGTAATCCCATCTGACTGGTCTCAGTCGCTAATTGTCCCAATCTACAAGAAAGGACACAGGTCTTCTTGTGACAATCACAGGGGAATAAGTTTAACTAATATAGTTTCTAAATTGTTAGACTCGATTATACTTAGACGTCTAACTAGAGCTCGTGAAGAGCAGACTCGAGAAAACCAGTCTGGTTCTCAGACCTGGACGTGGTTGTATAGACCAAGTCTTCATACTACGACACGTCCTGGAACACAGACACACATTTAGACGTCCGACAATAGTCGTGTTCCTGGACCTAAAGGCGGTATTTGACTCAGTAGATCATGAGGTTCTGTGGCAGTGTCTGTCATTGAAAGGTGTACCAAAGAAGTACATTAACCTCATACAAGCACTCTACTCGAACACCACTGGTCGGGTGAGAGCATATGGCGAACTGTCATCTGAATTCTCTACATCAAGTAGTGTCCGTCAGGGCTGTCCACTCTCTCCATTCTTGTTTAACTTTGTCGTGGACATCCTCTTAGAGTTAACATTAATCTCGTCAGATTTTTCAGGGATTGACCTTCTACCAGGAAAGTCTCTTACTGATCTAGAATATGCCGATGACATAGTTCTATTCGGTGAAGACGCTGACAAAATGCAGAGTCTTCTGACTACCATAAGCAACAATGCGAGCATGTTCGGGATGCGGTTTTCCCCCTCGAAATGCAAAATGTTGCTTCAAGACTGGGTTGCATCGGCACGTGAACTAGTGATAGGGAAAGAAGTAGTCGAGCGTGTTGATCACTTCACTTATCTTGGGAGTCTCATCAGTGCTGACGGTCTGGTGACTGACGAAATCTCAGCTCGGATACAGAAAGCTCGATTAGCTTTTGCCAACCTGCGTCACTTATGGCGTAGGCGAGATATCCGTTCGCTAACCAAAGGGCGGGTGTACTGCGCAACAGTTCGTTCCGTTCTCTTATATGGCTGTGAAACATGGCCGTTAAGAGTAGAAGATGTTCGTAGGTTACTAGTATTCGATCATAGATGTTTAAGAAGCATTGCTCGTGTATCGTGGGACAGCCGAGTAAGCAATGCTGTCGTTAGGAAACGAGTACTAGGTAAGAATGGCAGATCAATAGATGAAGTGGTGAAACTTCATCAGTTGAGGTGGTTGGGACATGTGTTACGTCTGCCTAACCACCGACTGCCTCGACGAGCTATGTTTTGTGGTGTAGGAGTAGGCTGGAAGAAAGTTAGGGGCGGCCAGACCAAAACATGGCAGAAATCCATGAAGTCACTGACAAGTGGACTGAGTCATGTTGGTAGATGTAGACTACCTGGTTGGGGTCCGCGAGACGAAAGTCATCAATGGTTAGAGACCTTGAACGACATGGCTCAAAATCGTTTGCAATGGCGCAGGTGCATCCACTCTTTGAGCTCTCTCAAGTCCTAATCTTCTGGATTAGCCAGCACCTCTACGTTTGTCTTTCTAACCTTATCTCACTGAATTATATTTTTTGAATAATATCTTAAACCCTAGTCTTCTTTATTATAACATTAATACCTCTACTATCTTTATCACCATGGGATTTGATTTGACATTTGCGTCTATGTGCTAATAATGTGGTATGGCAACATGAACTTATGTACATACGTACGAAGTTCTACGTTGCAACTGACTGACTGACCTCTACAACCATCGGATTTGAATTGACTCTTCTATTTCGTTGTGCTAATGTGGTATGGCGACTTGATCTGATCTACGCACATACGAAGTTCTACGTCGTTTCATTACTCTTGTTTGACAGTTGGTAAGCATCATTCATGTGAACAGTAATAATAACGGGTACCTTTCTATCAGAAAGTACATTGTACGATATAACAAATTGAATAACTGCATTTGTATCAAGATCCATATCAGTCAGATAATCAGCAGTAGAAATTTTTGTGTTCACACTGTAATATGTATTTAAATTAGGTAGATTCATACACTTGTCCACTTTATATGTTGATCAGAATTACATGAAAATATTGCAGTTTAGGATGAACTATTTAGCCCTTATGGTTATTTAGTGTTATCACTTTCTTGACTCATATTTACTTAGTTACATTCTACTGTATTTTGATGATTGAACCATGTTTTGTGGCGCACTGATCTAAGTTTCAGTCTTCTTACTATAATCACTGATTCAATTACCAATCACAAAATTGTCGTTTTTACTGTTTACTCGAATATTAATATGTGAAAGTATGTCTCACTCCTTATCACTTGTTAAGAATGCATAATCTTCACCAATCCGGTTGCTGAACTGATTATAACCTTATCTTTTTCTAATCTTATTAATCTCAATTCCCTACTTTGATACTTAGAAAATATTTTTTTAGTTTTTCGTTTGACCAATCATTGTTTTTTTTGAAGTAATGACTTTTAGAATGACCCACTTATATGTCAACTTGAGCATTGTTTAATTAACCAAGTTGTACAATATCAAAACCAACATCCCAAATGTCTAGTTTTTTAATTAGTTTAAATAGTTCATAGTGTTGGTGAACTGTATTTGCTAACGCCTAACTGTAGAATTTAAGATCGATGATTTGTTCTATAGAATCCTCACTAGTTGGATGTATTTCCCAGCTATAGCCATCAATTCAACTTTCAAAGCTTTATCCAGCCACATACGTTATCCATTTTTTCAGTTTAAAAATGTTAAATGAATTTAGAAATTATATATTTATTATGAATGATAGAGTAAATACTTGTGGTGAATGTGGCTGTGTTATACCCGACATCGGGCTCACCAATCATGTGGTGGTTTGTATGCGATATATTCCTAAACTTCCTCTACTGCTCGTCCTGATAGCCGTTATTAGATAACACTCAACGATGTATAAATCAAAAGACGAGTACGAAGCGTTGAATGCGTTTATTGTCGCATCACAAACAGACCACCGAAATCACAGGCACACAAACCAAAATGATATGCGAGTGCCAAGAGTAATCGAGCGAGCCAATGAACAGGATTAAAATGCACATATATATACTAAAGAAAATGAATGAGTCATCAAAATATTTAAGCGGCTAACATTAAAGCGAATAAAATGAATATGCGCGTAGGGTAGCCGGCAATGTTCATACAAGCGCGACAATAATTATAGCACAAATGTACAGATAAGTTATTGCAATGCGAATGACTCAGTTAAATAGGTGAATCAAAAGGGTTTAACCAAATTAAATGTGAACAAACTCAAATGTATGTGAGGACTACGTATTATTATGAGGGGAGACATTCATTTTTAAGTTGCATTAGGATAAATTTTCGGCCCATCACTCGCTACTTCAATTTTCAAAGCGCCAACACATATCCACTAAACATTAGTTCTGATTAGAACCTAGTATCGTCTCGCTTTTCTTTTTTAAAATCGCCGTTATCTATTTCCTTGACAGTTTGAAAAAGTCATTGACAGAAACATTTTTTCGTTTATTTTTTGATTTAGGTCCAATTCTCAGAAAAAAGCATTGTTCTTTGCAGGTGGCACCTTGGCTGGTATTTATATTGGCTCACGAATGAGATCACATGTTCGCCTAAATTCATATCGTGATTTGTGTAAGTTTTCTTGTCAGTTAGTATGCTTTGATGAACCTGTTACTAACTATTTAATTAGTTTGATAATCATTCACAATATCAACTGGAAAACAATTGAAACTATTGGCTAGTTGATATTAGCTTGGTTCTAGTTCGAATTCAATTGTACGAAAATTTACACTTTGATCGATTGGCCATGGATCAAGATGTAAACCATTAAGTTTGTTTTTACTATCTAATTAGTATGGTGTTGTTTTGCTGTGTTGTATAGCTTCCTCACTATACGTAGTCGTTGAGACATAGAATTCCAATTTAAATAAAACAGATCTATGGTATTCCCTCGTTATCACTTGTTTTCCATTTAAATATTATTATAATTTTCATATCGTTCATATTAAACATGTTATATTTCCAGTAACATTCATCAAATTTACTAACTAGGTCATTTTTTTACCATTACTAATGTCGTCATTAGTTCCACCAAAGTTATCGATTTTGTTAATTTAGAAATTTTTGTTAAATATCGATGACATAGTAAACGCTACTATACAAAATATTCATATTTAGGTTGCATCTTCGTCCTTATTAATAGTTATCTCACTAGTCATTTATATATTCATAACACTAATCTCAGAATCCTCAGGAGTTTGCCATTTCATATTTAAATAAACGAATAAAAAAATATAAGTGGATAATATAACGTTCATAAGATAAGAATGTTTTGTAAGTCCAATAAAGCAATAAAGATCGTGTTTCATGAAAGCTAGGATTAGATAAATTAACATGTTCTGTCAGATCATAAGCTCATTAATTGTTGGTCTGAGTCCCGTTGGCAAATGTGAGCTATTTTGTTGAGGTCCACATGATAATCGTACTCCATTGGTTGATGATCTTTGCTAGCATGGCTTAAAATTAGTCACAGTAGCTCTGATTCGTTCGCTGTTTATCTTCTCTTAATCTTTGGACTTCAAAACTTTCATCTGTTTATATCATTGATTTTTTCTGAACCATATTTTCTATGGTCAGTCTTTCATATTGTCCTTAATACTACCGTTATTATCCTAATTATTCTATTATTTATATAGTTTATTTTCCCTCGATTAGCATTCTACTCTTTGATCTTAACAATCGAAAATCTATTAAATCTTAAAAGTCTAATCTGTGACATATCTAGAGGATCAGTTTTCATTGTTTTTAATGATCATCACCACTGTTCTAACCCGTATCTACTTACACAATAGAAAGCGCATTGCAATACTTACCTACTAGATTTTTTCTATGCCCTCAATAACTTGTCCAAACCCCAACCGTTAAAGTGACAATTTTATTCCTGTGCCCCAACGGACGAGGATATATGCATAATGCTGATAAAATATACAATTACATATTAAGTGGAATTTTTTGTGCTACTCTACTGCTTCATTCGTTAAAAGTGAAAGACATAAAGGATTCATTTGTAGTCAGTCAGTCAGTTACGACGTAGAACTCGGTATATATGTACATCAGTTAGGGTCGCTATACTGCATTAGCACAGAGAGATAAAATTGTCTGATCAAATCTGAGTAGTAGCAAAATTTGTGATAATAGAAAGGATTAGGGATCTATTACAAGATTCTAAAGAATTTTTTAAATAAGAAAAAAATTGGTTATGAGGAATCCAAAAGCTTAACATTCGAGGGAATATGGAATGGATGCTCCGCCGTTGCAAACGATTTTGAGCTACGTCATTTAAAGTCTCTAACCACCGGTTACGATTGTCACACCTATTAACATGACTCAATCTAGTTGTTAATGACTTAATGGTTTTGTGCCATGTTTTAGTAAATCTCTGACATTGTGAACATACATCGTCTGAGACACATTAGGCAAACTATGTCATTTTCTGCTCCAGAAGTGTCCGGCAACCTCAGTCGTGTCGAAAAATACGGACTTCTTGTTCATGAAATCAATAATTAAAAACGATAAGTCATTTAATTCAAATCCCTTCTTTTTTCAGTTTCATTTTGAAGCTGGTCGTTTGTTTACCTGTTCAAGCTACATCGTTCTTTGAATCAGGTTTTTTTTATCAAGGACTCTTATAAATTCGCTAGGGATTAGCTTCAAGATAAATTTCTCAGGTTCTAATGGAAAGTCGTTATTCGTGAAAGTGAGATAGGCATTGCCAATTGTATTAGTTGGTATGCGAGCAGATTAAGTAAAGTTAAATACTTGAACTATCGAATTTCAACTTAACGGTTTAAAGATATCGTGCTGACAGTGAAACGTTGAGGTTCTGAGTTCAATATCATTTAGGATCGTTAGTTCACTCTCAAGACGTGATAAACTAGTTTGGAACAGTTGTAGAGGCACTTTGGTTTTCAGTGGTTTTTCAACTGATCCAGATCTGTAATTGAATTTGTCTTCTGTTTTAAGTAATATCCGCAAACCATCTAACTAAACTTTATCATTCCAATGCCTCTTCTGATGTTTTGACTTCATTTTGATCTTATTTTAAGCTGTTATCAAGTGTCACAACCTAAACAGATTTACTTTGGGTTAGATACTACGTTTGTCGATTGATTTATGTTGCATTCTCTAGCCTCATATAGAACGTCGCTTTTAAATGTTTTATTAGAACGATACATATTTGTGTTGTGTTTTAAGTATATCCAAGGTCTATGCACTTTATTTTATTGAGACTATTCACTAAATATCGTATGGATGTGGAAAGATATTTGAAAACTAGAAATATCTTCCATTCAATTAATTTTCATGTGATACAATTTGTTTGTGAGTTGTCATGTGACCTCATTGTTTAATCTATTAAACACAAATCATATATATTGTTGTTTGATTGATTTTCTTTCAGAAAATGATAAGTTCCTCTAATTCGTCAAAATGATTTTAGTTATAGGGACTGTACACTCGTAACTGGTATTTATTTCGATTAATCCAATATCTTCAAAATTTCATTGTAATCAACTTGATTAAGGTAGCAGCAGTAGTAGTACGAGTTAATCACTGGCAAAGATAAATGTTATTCGATTGATAAGAAATAATATCATGGGATGAGTAGTTATTATCAATAGTATTCGTCGGCTTAGTTTCTTTTTTTTATTTCTCATAGACAATTATGAAGTTTGTGAAGGTCAACGCACAGAGTTCATCAATGCTACAGGAATGACAAAAACATATTCTTATTTCCTATGTCCTGATAATCCAAACAAACCATTTGAAAAGTATTGTTGCCGTGATCCACTAACCCTTATGGGTGCATGCTGTTTAAAAGATGAAGATCATCAGTAAGTGTCAATATTTTAAGAAACAACGTATATCAATACTATCATTGCTATTTGTCAATATATTAATAGTCATATAATTCGAATATGTTTCTCCTCATGAAACGAATTTTTCCCTATGAAACATCATTAAGGTTTTGACCTAAGATCATAGTGATTTGTACTTTTTTGGGAATATTGTGAAGATGTTTTGAATGCCTTGTCGAATCATATCTTCGGACCCTAATCACCATTGCTGCTAATACTTCTACTACCTCTACTGCTATGGGATTTCAATTGATAATTCTATTTCTCTGTGCTAATGTGGTATGACAACTTGAACTGATGAACGTACGTACGAAGTTCTACATTGTAGTTGACTGGCTGATTAACAACAACCCTAGTTTTCGACTGTCTTCAAACACTACGTATTGTCCACGTGAATGTTTAGTTGAATATAGTCAAGATACTAGATATAAGATATGTGTCAGTTCAAGTTTTCAGACCTCATAATGGTAAACAATATGTGAAAATAATTAATTTACTTATTCAAACCTATTACCGCTTATGAGACATAGATGATCGACCAGTATTCTCCAAATAACTATGTCCTGATCTCTTCTTTGCTGTTGTTCCCAAGTGCTATTCATCCATTTGTTGCCTGCCTCCGATTTTCGGTGAAATGTATTCTTTGATTTTCCTCTTTCCGTTTTGCTTGAGAATCGTAAGTTGGAACTTGCTTTTTTATGCAGTGTGGTGATATCTGTAATGTGTGAAGGCGGGTTTGTTTTCTGCCACAGTCGGTTGTTACTGACCGACAGATCTGCGGTTTCTTGCTTAGACAACTGTTTATAAATATCTGCACATATTTGATGACGACTTCTGTATTTCTGCGAGTTTCGCTCGGTACAATAGAACTGTCTTAACGTTCGTATTGGTGTTGGTTGATAGTTGTTTTGAGCTGCAGATGTTCTTCAGTTGTAGAAATGCTGTCCTTGCTTTGCTACTCCGTGTTTTCACATCTGGATTAGATCCACTCTATTTATCAATAGCACTGTCTAGGTATGTAAAAGTTTTTGCATCAAGATCTCGATGCCTTGTTTTTTCTCCGAATCAGATGTCTGCTTATTCTGCCATTTGGTTTGACGACGTTATGAAAATTTCCCTGTTACTGACCGAAATGTGATCTGTCTGTAGTTCGCTCAATTACTGAGATTTCCTTTCTTTGATATCTTGATGATGTATTTTTCTTTCTAGTATGACGTTTCTTGTTCTTGCTCCTAAACTTTTCTAAAGAGAGCATTGACTTACTCCTATGTTTGATTTCAGTTCTGTGATTGGCATGTTGTCTGGTCCTGCTGCTTTTCCACCATTAATTTGTCAGATGACCATGCCAATTTCTTAGACTGTTGGAGGATTAAAATTAAATTTTAGGTCTTGCCTTCTTCTTTGTGAGGTAAGATATGTAAGATTTCTCTCCTGCTTTTGTGTTCGGTAGGTTCAGTGGTGCTGGCCAACTTAAGAATCACCTGCCCGTTGTCCTTGAACCTCAATAACTAGTTTATCTTCTTTGTTCTTGACTGGTCACTTCATTTCACTATATTTACCCGCAAACTTCTTGTCTGTTTTACTTAGTTTTCCCATATTTCCTTCTTTTGAAGCTCTCTCTGCCGCTGTTTTACATGTTTTCACTTGTTTGTTTTTATGCTTTTCTTGACTTGTTTGCTTCTATGTATTCATTCTATGCTCTGGTTTCCACTGCTCTTGTATGACCGTCGTCGATTTCTCTCTTGCTCTTTCTTGAATCCTGTTCAAGCTTTTTGAAGATATCCACTCTTTATCCTGGTGTTTCTAGCAGGCCCAGGACTTGAATCGCTGAAGCTATTGTTTCTTTTATTCTTTGATCTGACCAACATCAATAAAGTAAAGAACATTCAGTAGGTTGTTGTATTTCTCTGATAACGTATATTTGTATTTTATGTGTACATACATTACTAAATTGGGCCTAGTTTTCTTCTTAGAAAATAAATACGGAGTTGATGCTAATCAGTACCGTAAAGCGCAAATACTTGTAGTCATATTTGTGCAGCAGTATTACTTTCCTCTAACCAGTTATGCCTTTCGGTTATTTGTGAAGTTACTTGACTATGAATTATTCTACACCACATAAAATATACGAGTTGACAATCAGTAAGAATTTATAAATGCGTAGATTGTCGTTAAGTTTAAGATATTTCTTGTTTTCTTCATTTTATCGCTTGTTACATATTTAGTCACGTAGTAACTTTTAGTCATGTTTATATATATTGATGTGCATTCTGTGTGTATAATTTAAGTGTTCTGTTCATCATAATTTCTAATTTAGTAGAGTTTCTGACCATTTTTTAAAATTTATATATTTATACTTTGATGATGGGTGAATATTAGCAAACATTTAAGACGGTTGTTTACTGCACATCGATCGATAAAGAGTATTAGCACTCGAAAATATTATTCTTTTGTGAAAGTTTCAATGAATTGTTTGGTAAGAATTGTTACATTTCTCAGCTTCATTTATTTTCACTTTGAGCATATCTTTTCAAAAGTTGCATGGTAATGACCAGAAGAATAATATACTGAGCTGTGCCGAGTAGCTCAAACTCTTTAATTACGATTCACTGATGACTGTAATCTATGGTCACATACTATTTGATTATAGATTATAGTCGAAATAGATATATCATGGCTAGTGTTGGAATCCGAGACTCACTTTTCGTCCTGTTTGAAGCTCGTCAGTTGGATGTACTTGCATCTCAGAGTTTATGTTCACTCCTGGACTCGGACTTATTACCGTTTGCTTCAAACGTCATCACGTTATCCACTCAGCTAGTTATGTTATAATCGCTATATCGAGGCAGTCCGCATAATATGCTCATCTGCCAACCAAGACTGATCAAATTTCAGTCAAAATATCAACAACGTGTTAATCCGAATCATTTCAAATTGAATTAGATAATAGTCAGTCGTAGCAGCATAGATTTACTAACTTTTCTTTATCTTCCCTTCAGTTTTATCTATTAATATTTTTCGTACTCTTTTACTCCTTAACTTTATGTACTCCTTTGGAATTATTTGCCTCTGTATATTAAATCGTACGTTGTATATAACTAAAATAACTGACTGCTGTTGAAATATATTTCTGTTAACATTGTTATGTTTTTGTTGACTATACTTATTATAGGTTGCCGTACTCTGAAGCCTGATATAATTATTTAATTATTCAGAAGAATTTTTTAGGATAATGTTATCAGTATTAGATAACCTATGGATTATTCTATCTATCCTATGTAGTTGATAATTCATCATATCGATCTCTTACTTTGTATGTATTTGTTCGTATTTGTGTATCTGTGAGCTTAGGTGTGAATTGGACTGCTTTCTAAAAATAAGTAAAAAATATTTCCATTTACATCTTTCATTATGTATGTATATATTTAGGTATTTACATTCTGGCAGGTAAATTATCACTTTATTATTATTATTGTGTTCTTCTTAATTTCTAATATGCTTGCACCTTGAATATTACCTGTTTCTGCTTTTTTTTTTAATTTCTGGTTACTTTAGTCAGCATGTTTTAATGAAAGTTAATTCGCCTGGATTTATTTCGAAGTTGTTATTTTGTCTAAAGAAAATATATTTTCATTTCTTCTGAACATAATTTTACTGTTGCTACTAGTTTATGGATAAAAACCGACAGAAGGAAAAAAATACACAAAGATGAATTGTTGATTTGCGTGTATATGTAAATGTGATTCAGTTTATTGACATTTTTTATAATTGGTTTCATATTCCATTTTGTGTGCATTCGTATGCGTATGTTGTTTCATTTACTAATATCACGATGGTGATGGTTATCATTGTGGTGTAATGAATAAACTAGACCATTTTACTCGTCATTAGTATCATTATTGTTTTGCTCTGTGATTGATTTTCTATTTAGTTTCAAGTTTTTCATCTTAAACTTGTCGAAATCTGTCTTTTTAAGTTATTCTGTATCGTGGATTTGTTTTCTGATTGCCTTTTTTTATCTTATTATCCAGTGACTTTGCTTACTTACTTACTTTCGCCTGTTACCCCAAATGGAGCATAGGCCGCCCACCAGTTTTCGCCAACCAACTCTGTCCTGGGCTTCTTCCTCCAGTTCTGTCCAATGTTTGTTCATTCCTCTCATATCTTTCTCTATTTCACGGCGTAATGTATTCTTTGGCCTTCCTCTTTTCCTTTTGCCTTGAGGGTTCCATGTGAGGGCTTGTCTCGTGACGCAGTTAGGTGCTTTTCGTAGAGTGTGTCCTATCCACTTCCACCGCTTCTTCCTGATTTCCTCTTCCACTGGAATCTGACTTGTTCTCTCCCACAGTTCGTTGTTGCTGATGGTGTCTGGCCAACGAATACGAAGTATTTTACGTAGACAGCTGTTAATAAATACTTGTATCCTCTGGATGATGGCTTTAGTAGTTCTCCATGTTTCCGCTCCATACATTAGAACTGTCTTGACATTTGTATTGAAAATCCTTATTTTGGTGTTGATTGATATCTGTTTGGAGTTCCAGATATTTTTCAATTGTAGAAATGCAGCCCTTGCTTTGCCAATCCGTGCCCTCACATCTGCATCGGATCCACCTTGATTGTCGATGATGCTGCCCAGATATGTAAAGGTGTTAATGTCCTCCAAGGCATCTCCATCAAGAGTGATTTGATTGGTGCATGTTGTGTTGCATCGGAGAATTTTGCTTTTTCCTTTATGTATGTTGAGACCTACTGCTGCAGAGGCTGCTGCTACACTGGTCGTCTTCTCTTGCATTTGTTGTTGAGTGTGCGATAGAAGAGCCAGGTCATCTGCGAAGTCCAGATCGTCCAGCTGCGTCCTAACTGTCCAGTTGATACCGTGCTTCCCTCCAGCTGTTGACGTTTTCATAATCCAGTGGATGACCGGGAGAAAGAGAAAGGGTGAAAGTAAGCAACCTTGCCTGACACCGGTCTTTACCTCGAAAGAGTCGGTTAGCTGTCCTCCGTGCACGATTTTGCAGTTGAATCCATCATAAGAGTTCCGTATGATGTTGACTATTTTCTCAGGCACACCGTAGTGTCGAAGAAGAGTCCACAGTGTTTTCCTGTCCACGCTATCGAATGCTTTCTCCAGTGACTTTGACTGATATAATAATAAATCTTCATTAGTTTTGCTGTCGGATTCTCTATCACGGCCTTTGATAGATATCACCTAATATAGGACTTTAGAGGATTCATTGTAATCATCTTAAACTGTCATATACCGGATCACTTCTAAGCAGTTAATGTTTGCAACTTCATTTAATGTGTAATATGTAAATACTTAAATTCTTAGTCACTAGTTGTTATTGTTTTTGTGAAGTTTCCAATTTGTGTTGGTCACTCCAAGTTAGTTATCCTTACCCAAACTATCGAGTAATCAGGATTGTTAATTTACTTGAATCGTTTATAGGCTGAAAGTGGAGTATAGACAAATATCCTAGAAAAAACTATTTTATCATTGGTTGGTTGGCAACCAGTTATTAATATTAAAGCATTATACTGATTGTTATCTTATCTTCAACTTGTAAATTCTTTCCTAAATACTTAAATATGTTAATCGTGTGCATATTTCATATTGTCATTGTTCTCGTTGTTTTCTTTCTTCTTGCTCTCGTTCACGTAATACAAGTTAACTTCCATGTGTGTTCATGATAATAGTACAAAACAGATGTTTTTCTCCTAATTCTCACAATACCTAGTTCATTAACGATTAATTTAAGCCTATGACAAATTATTTCTTTTACTTAAAATTATTCAATTTGCCTGATCGAATTGGTTCTCCTTTTTACAAAAACTAAATTAACAACCTTATCGTTATGTTATTCTTCTGGTTAATCATTAAAGAAATCCAATAGAAACCAATCCTTAATTGGACTCAGTTAATTTTCAACTTTTAGTAAAGTGTGATCATTAAAATAGGTACTATTTTTAGTACATATATTAGGTATTTTCACTGTTACTGTTTTGGTATAGAATGCATGTGATGATAATCCACATGAATAGTGAAACTTACAATGACTTATTTCTATAATAAGCAATCATTTTTTCTAGCTGTATTCAATTAGGTGATTTTTACTCTTCATATTTATTGGTTTTATTAAACAAGTCATCAAGAAATTAAGAAGGTATGAAGCAATTTTCCATCAGAAAAGTTCATTGCCATTAATTGTTTAACACTTGACAAAATAATTAAGTATTCATTCATTAAATTATATTGATATAAACTGGAGTAATGTGTATTCAGTTTCATAAAACGGTCAAATGTAACGATAAGTGTCTCCTTAATCAATTCACAAACAGCTTAATGAAGGGAAATTTCATAGTATTAGTACTAAAAGTAGTGAATGTCAACTGGAAAACCTTTGATGTTCACAAAAGGATAAACCGTTTGTTGTGTCACTTTTTTTACTAATTAGAAGTTAAGTTTCAAAGATTTATTCACTCTTCTTTATAATTGGTTTGCAAGACTTTATCAAGGTTATGGTCAGTCTGTCTAATTGGTATTAACTATATTTCCTATCTGTAATAGATTTTCTCATGTTTAATCAGACATGATATTGTGTAGAAATCTTTTAAAAAAGATCGCTTTATGTAAAACAGCTTCCATAGGAACACAGTACTCATTCATATGAACTAATTTAAATTATTCAACTTGTTCAGTAGTGTGTAGGCGCCACTATTCTATATTTAATTTTAGTAATTATATTACAGTAATCACCGGGGATATTATTCCTAATACATATGTTCTTACAAGTAATACATATATTTTTATTTGTTTGACTGAATTTAAAGACAAAATTGTTCCTGATTATCTGTCTAAAATGGCTCTTTCGATCTCTCTTCTCCCCCCTCTCTCTCTCTCTATATATATATATATAAATATAAATATATATATATATATATATATATATATATATATATATATATATATATATATACATATATAATCATTTGATCGATTTTGTGCGATACCTGTTCAGAAGTGCAAGTACATTGTTTATCAATTACCATTATTTTATTCCTCCATATTTGCAGATAGACATGGGTCTCGTACCTAGGAATTCTAGACTTACATTCGTTTACTGTATATTATTTCTCTCTTTGTTTGTTCACAATGGATAGTTAATAGTTATGACCTACTTTTAGTACACAACGTAAATGCATAGTAAAATTTTTCATTTAGTTAAGTAATATGAATCAGTTGATCAATTTTTGAGAAGTTATAAAGCATTTAAAAGCCATCATCTCCTTATAGAAAGTTGAGATCAAAATTTTAGTTAATTGGCTGATTATTGAATGTTACTGAAAATAGTTTATATTTATTTATATACACCATATTATACACATTGATTCACTGTTTATCTTCACATCGTAAGGCTGCACATATTTAGAGTATTGTATAAGCTATTTCAACTTCTTGTCTGTTATCTGCAAAATAATTTCTGAAATTCAATTCTCTTTTTATTATTGCTCACTAGTAGGTTCATTCAACCCATTTTTATTCTTGTTAATCCTACCGAACAAAGCATGTGTTGACTATCCAAATAATAATAATAATAATAACTACAATTATATTCTTAACTTATCACATCTGACTTACTTATTAACAGTGTAAATCAATTGTTACTAGTTATTCAGTTTAACTGTTACTCTAAATCACTTTCAAATGTAACATATTAACTTTATGTAATTGTGTTTTATTTTTCGCGAAATTAAATTCTTTCTCTACTGTTTAGTTTCAAAGCATTTTTCCCCACATAAATCAGATAACATGTAAACCATGGCCCATAACAAAACACAGTGTTCATAGTCTATTTGTATACACTAATTCAATAGATAAGTGGAAATTTGAACAATATGTTTATCGTCGTACTAAAGTGTTGGTTTCAACTTTTTCATAACAATTTACTTCCGAGTATCTATTGTTCATTTGGTTGTGTTATTTTTTTCCTTTTATTATTGGTTATGTTTCTCTTAATAAAAGAGAATTCTTGGTGTATTTCGCATTCTTTAACTATAATTCATCAACTCTTAAATTGCATCCCCATCTTAGTTGTATCCGTTGTTGTAATTCATAATTATGCATGCTTCGCTGCGGAACGGGTTTATATTTACTAAATTTCTCAGTTTATATTGCATCTTTATATTTTGGTTCTATTTTTTACATTCCAGTGGGGTGCGAGCGGGCATAATATTTGGGGTTATGTTACTGGTTATAATATCCGTCGCGATTATGATATATTGTTGTAAATATCGTAGGAGATCAGCATCAGTGAATGTTCCAATGCCACAATTTATACCACCTCTAGATCCAATGTACAAACCGGTAAGCAAATCCAGAAGTTTGTTCGAATCTAGTGATACTTCGACTATAGAGCATCAGCCATTGAACTCTGGGGTAAGGTGTTATTCGCAACTGTGACCTTAGGAATTAAAGCATATGGTGTGCTATATGTGTGTGATTGTACACACGAAATACTATTCAGCTAATAGTATTTTTAAAAATTGGTGTTTTTTATTAACACCTTTTCTAGTTTGCAATTTCAGTTAACCCTATTATTTTTTTACAATTGGTCTTAATTTGTACTCATTTACTCGTAGAATTTACTAGAACTATAGCCTACAACTTCAGAGAACTTAATTAAAATCATGGATAAAACATCTTTAACCTGTATGTTGTTTTTTTTTATAATTCAGTACTCCACAACAGTCCAACCGTGAGACATTTCACTTCACTTCTTTATCTTAAATAGCTATTGATCAATTTAAGGTAAGCAGAATCTGATCATGATGGCTGACTCGTCGATGAATTATTTAGTTTTGTTGTATAAACTAATTACATTACTTGTTAGATTAGCTATGACTTCCTGTTGATTGATTTCAAACAAATGGTTTGTACTTAGACAAAAGACTTCTAAACAGATCAGTTAATATCAAACTATTCTTCATGCAAGAACTAAGTATAAAATATTATAAATGCAATAATAATAAAGTTTCTACTTATAAAGTAAATTACTCAAAAATTTTAACAAAGCGCTCTTCATGGAAACTGTAGTTATCCTATTTCGCATTAGTTAGACACGAATCTCAATCCAATTAAAATATGTTTTAAGATGGTCTTTATTGTTTGTTTTTTTTTAATTTTAATTTTCATTTTACATCTATCTGTTCTTAATGTTTCCTGCACACTAGTTAACCTTTACAATTATCTTTGAGATGTGGGTGGTTTTAACATGTTTACATTTTAGATTTTGTAACATACCAAAAAACTGTCACAACAATCCGTATAGATTCACATGTTTTAAATTGGTTTTTTTAATGAAATATATTGAACGTTTCTTACTGTAACGATTTTTTTGCTGTAACGTGCTAGTATCAACTTCCTGTGATCGATCCAACTTCATCTACACCAGCTGGTTATCTCGTTCTTCCGTATCCTCCCAATGGACAATCTGTTGGTTATCCACAGAATTTTGATGTCCCTTTTACGCCTGCACAATCAACGATGCCAACAAACACGACTGAACAGATTGGATCTGGTTGGGGAGTAGATGCTAATCTGTCCATTCCAGCGCATCGACCAGATTTCCCACCCCCTCCGTATCCAGGCTCTCCAACTTCAAATGCTGAAGAAGTTGACGCCAGTGCTCCAAGGTATATATTCTTATCTTAGGCGTTATGATGCTTTATGTTTAAAAAAAATCAAATCATTGTCGTTTTTTAAAAAAAACTTTATAATTTTATCGCATGAACTGCATATACAATATAGTTTTACAAGTAATTAGTCATAATTTGTTTGTCAGCAAATTAACACTGTTAATCAAGCAACCGAATTTATATCTACATCAAAGCAATAAAGTTTTCTCAGATGTGCGAAATATTTTTCTCCACTACTTTACTATAACTTAATAGATGATAACAAGTAATTGATGAAAAAAAATTTCACAGTATGGCTCATTTCGTCACATTTCGGATATCGCATCATTCAAATCTATCTTGCAGACAATAAGAAATCTTACTGATAAAAACGGACACAACTGAAAGATATCAAATATGTTGATTCCTAGACATTTGTTTTGATGTCATATTTGTTTCTATTAATTGATTGCATTTTTCCTATATTTTGAATTCATTTTATAGTTCAGCATGGATGAAGAAGAGTTGAATATTTTACAAGTCTATCCTTTAAATGTTGTTATTGGTAGTATATGAACGATGAGAAGATTTAATACTACCATTTAAGGTATTCAACAATCAATGTCTGTTACTTGTTATTTATTACTTGCTTTTCTCAATTTTGACATTGTCTTGTGTAACATTGTTTTCTTTCGACTTCCATTTTCTGTGAATAGTTGTACTTGTGTATGATTTATTCATTTGTCTCATTGTTGTTGTCCTTATTTTATACAATAACTTATTTCTTTTCTTGTTCCCCATATATATATCCGAAATGACTTATATATTTATCCGGCTGTTTTTCCTCTATTATAAAAACATTTGACGATTAGCTTCATCAAGAAATGATTAAAAAAACATGTGAACACTTTCCTCCTCTTTTTATTGTGTTGCTTCAGATGACAATCAGAAATTATTAGTATGTTTTTCATTTTAATTTCTTTTTTATGGGATATAAACTTAATATTTGTTTAATTACTGAAATAATTTTTTTGTTGTCGTTAAAATATTGTTTATTCCAGTGTTCTTTTTCTCCTTTCTTATTTTTTCAATATTTCTCCGTATATTATCTTTTTATGATTTATTAAACTTTATTTCTGTGTACTCATGTGTTTGTGTTTCACAAATAAAAAGATTTACGTCGAACAGATCCGAATAAAAGCACATCAGTACATAAAAAAAATTATTAAAAAAATTTATGACATAATCAGTTATTCACTACTTTTTTTAATTTGCTTTTTTTTGCTTCATTAAAACAATTTTTAATAAACAGTATACTCAAAAAAAATTTTTCTCATTCAACTATTTAAGTGAATGGCATAATACTATGTCAGTTTATTGATTACAAAGGTTATTTTATTAAAATGTATTCTGCATTTTAATATATCCATTTCTGTTATGAGTCTGTCCTGCTTTCATATTTACCTAAGGCAAAAATAAGCTATATATAATCTCGGAATACTTATTAATCGGTGTATAATGTGAAGACTCAATGAATCTTTACCAAAATAGTTGTATGATTTAGTTAAATTTAGTAAAATATGTTTTGCTGTTTTATCTGTTCAGGAAGGAAGGATGGGGTTAGAAAAGTTCGACCCTAAAAATGTCACACCTCACCTTACCTCACGAATTTCAGTCTCCGGCGGTAAAACCTTTGAAAAAAGAGCGGAGCCAACACTTTAAATACTTCTCATAAAAAGGCCATTCGTGACCGGCCTCAAGCAGTTGTCGCATGGGCTCTGCGGTCATCGGCATATTCTAGATCAGTAAGCGATTTTCCTGGTACAAGGTCAACCCCTGAAAAATCTGACGAGATTAATGTTAACTCTAGGAGGATGTCTACGACAAAGTTAAACAAGAATGGAGAGAGTGGACAGCCCTGACGGACACCACTTGATGTAGAGAATTCAGATGACAGTTCGCCATAAGCTCTCACTCGACCAGTAGTGTTCGAGTAGAGAGCTTGTATAAGGTTAATGTACTTCTTTGGTACACCTTTCAATGACAGACACTGCCACAGAACCTCACGATCCACTGAGTCGAATGCCGCCTTAAGGTCCAGGAACACGACTATTGTCGGACGTCTAAATGTGTGTCTGTGTTCCAGGACCTGTCGTAGTGTGAAGACTTGGTCTATACAACCACGTCCAGGTCTGAGAACCAGCCTGGTTTTCTCGAGTCTGGTCTAAACGAGCTCTAGTTAGACGTCTAAGTATAATCGAGGCTAACAATTTAGAAACTATATTAGTTAGATTTATTCCCCTGTGGTTGTCACAAGAAGACTTGTGTCCTTTCTTGTAGATTGGGACAATTAGCGACTGAGACCAGTCAGATGGGATTACGTCCAGTTCCCAGATTCTACCGATGATCTCGGTCAGTCTAAATGTTAAAACTGGACCACCATCATTGAACATCTCAGAGATAAGCCTATCAGGACCTGCTGCTCTCCCTCCTTTTAAATTTCCTATAGCTTTCTCAACTTCATGTAAACTAGGAGGACTTAAATCGATTTGCCAATCAGGATGACTGGAGATCGTGGGCAACCGAAGTGTGGCTGAAGACCAGTTGAACTTTTCCCAAAAGTGTTCTGCCCATCGGTACAATTTCCTGTCAGTCAGTCAGTTGCAACGTAGAACTTCGTACGTATGTACATAAGTTCATGTTGCCATACCACATTATTAGCACAGAGACGCAAATATCAAATCAAATCCCATAGTGATAAAGATGGTAGAGGTATTAATGTTATAATAAAGAAGACTAGGGTTTAAGATATTATTCAAAAAATATAATTCAGTGAGATAAGGTTAGAAAGACAAACGTAGAGGTGCTGGCTAATCCAGAAGATTAGGATTTGAGAGAGCTCAAAGAGTGGATACACCTGCGCCATTGCAAACGATTTTGAGCCATGTCGTTCAAGGTCTCTAACCATTGATGACTTTCGTCTCGCGGACCCCAACCAGGTAGTCTACATCTACCAACATGACTCAGTCCACTTGTCAGAGACTTCATGGATTTGTGCCATGTTTTGGTCTGGCCGCCCCTAACTTTCTTCCAACCTACTCCTACGCCACAAAACATAGCTCGTCGAGGCAGTCGGTGGTTAGGCAGACGTAACACATGTCCCAACCACGTCAACTGATGAAGTTTCACCACTTCATCGATTGATCTGCCATCCTTACCTAGTACTCGTTTCCTAACGACAGCATTGCTTACTCGGCTGTCCCACGATATACGAGCAATGCTTCTTAAACATCTATGATCGAATACTAGTAACCTACGAACATCTTCTACTCTTAACGGCCATGTTTCACAGTCATATAAGAGAACGGAACGAACTGCTGCGCAGTACACCCGCCCTTTGGTTAGCGAACGGATATCACGCCTACGCCATAAGTGACGCAGGTTGGCAAAAGCCAATCGAGCTTTCTGTATCCGAGCTGAGATTTCGTCAGTCACCAAACCGTCAGCACTGATGAGACTCCCAAGATAAGTGAAGTGATCAACACGCTCGACTACTTCACTCCCTATCACTAGTTCAGGTGCCGAAGCAACCCAGTCTTGAAGCAACATTTTGCATTTCGAGGGGGAAAACCGCATCCCGAACATGCTTGCATTGTTGCTTAGGGTAGTCAGAAGACTCTGCATTTTTTCAGCGTCTTCACCGAATAGAACTATGTCATCGGCATATTCTAGATCAGTAAGCGACTTTCCTGGGAGAAGGTCAACCCCTGAAAAATCTGACGAGATTAATGTTAACTCTAGGAGGATGTCTACGACAAAGTTGAACAAGAATGGAGAGAGTGGACAGCCCTGACGGACACCACTTGATGTAGAGAATTCAGATGACAGTTCGCCATAAGCTCTCACTCGACCAGTAGTGTTCGAGTAGAGAGCTTGTATAAGGTTAATGTACTTCTTTGGTACACCTTTCAATGACAGACACTGCCACAGAACCTCATGATCTACTGAGTCAAATACCGCCTTTAGGTCCAGGAACACGACTATTGTCGGACGTCTAAATGTGTGTCTGTGTTCCAGGACCTGTCGTAGTATGAAGACTTGGTCTATACAACCACGTCCAGGTCTGAGAACCAGCCTGGTTTTCTCGAGTCTGGTCTAAACGAGCTCTAGTTAGACGTCTAAGTATAATCGAGGCTAACAATTTAGAAACTATATTAGTTAAACTTATTCCCCTGTGATTGTCACAAGAGGACTTCTGTCCTTTCTTGTAGATTGGGACAATTAGCGACTGAGACCAGTCAGATGGGATTACGTCCAGTTCCCAGATTCTACCGATGATCTCGGTCAGTCTAACCGTTAAAACTGGACCACCATCCTTAAACATCTCAGGGGTAAGCCTATCGGGACCTGCCGCTCTACCTCTCCTTAGATTTCCTATAGCTTTCTCAACTTCATGTAAACTGGGAGGACTTAAATCGATTTGCCATTCAGGATGACTGGAGATCGTGGGCAACCGAAGTGTGGCTGAAGGCCATTTGAAGTGATCCCTAAAGTGTTCTGTTCATCGGTCCAGCCTCCTAGATTGAGAATGGATAATAAGATCATCCTTTTCCGAGATAGTCTCACTTACATTCGGGTTGCTAATACCTGTTTCTTTGATAAGGCAGAAAAGTTGTCTAGTGTTGCCTATCGTCGCTGCCTTTTCCATCGCTTTTGCTTTCGCCACCCACCACTGTTCACGGTCGTTACGTAGGCTTTTTATAAGTCTGCGCCTAAGCTGACTACGCTCTTCATCATGTTCAGAGTCAGGTGGGATGCGTTTTCGAGCATCCATCAGTTCAGTGGATGCGACTGAGATCCAGGGCTTCATCCTAGCCTTACGGTTTACCTTGCTAGCAGATATCACTGCTGTTTCCACAGCCTTTTTGATATCATACCAACCTCCTTCAGGATGGGAATCACATGCATGGCCGCCTAACTGTTTTTCTAGTTCCTCCTGAAATATTTTCTTAGCTTGATTATCATCAAGTAAAGCCCTAAGAGGCTTCCTTACGGTGTCTTTCCTACGTCCAGTAAGCCTCAAACAAATACGAGCTCGCACTAGGGCATGATCTGAATCTAAACATGTGCCCCAGAACGAGCGACAATCCTCTATCGAACCCCTCCATCGGTGGCTGATGGCGATATGATCTAGTTGTGTCCAACGTTGAGACGATTTCGGGGGTCGCCAGGTCAAAAGGTGTTTTTCCTTATGCTTAAAATTAGTGTTTGCTAGAAATAGTTGGTTATCTGAGCACAGTTGCAACAGACGGTCGCCATTGTCTGTTCTTTGAGGCGCGAGACCGTAACATCCACCTAGGTGTCTTTCATTTTCACTTAGTCTACCTACTTGTGCATTGAAGTCACCAGCCATTATAACTATATCAGAGCGCTTAACTTTTTGGAGGAGGTCCGAAAGCTTTCTGTAAAACTCATCTTTCACATCATCTGGAGTGCAGTCAGTGGGGGCGTAGGCTGATATGACGAAGA